TCGGGCTGCACCACGTGGTCGTCCTCTACCCCGAACCCGGCCTCTGGCGGCTCTAACATGGGGCTCGGATGCCTGATCGTCGGTCCTCCCGGTATGGGTCCTCACCATCTGTGAGAAAGAATAGAATAGAATCTTAGAATTTTTTGATGTCAATATCTCGCACGACAAGGAAATCAAAGAAATATGATTGTTTTTAATAGTTACATAGCCTCCCGAAGATAAGTAGAGACGTCTCCGTACCGATCCGCGAGTCTCTAATAAACCGGCTTGTGACTCGCGACTCCTATCAACCTAGTGCTCTGATACCAACTTGTCACGACCCAAATTAACCCTCTGTAAGGTGTCGTGATGGCACCTAGTCTTTACGACTAGGTAAGCCTAATATTGCGAAAAATATAAAGAAAATACTACATTTTAAAGATAAACAATATATTCTAAATAGCCAAAAGTAGTACCACTCGGCATATACAAAATAATTTTCCAAGACCCGAAATATCACTAAGTCACAAGCTGCTATAATCTATGTAGCTCTATACAAAAGTCTGAAGATAATAAGGAAAGTCTCTAGACGAGGGAGTAGAAGAGAACTCCTAAGATCTGCGGACGCAAGCAGAAGTATCTTGAAATTTCCTAGAATCAGCAGCACGCACTAACCCCAAGGCTGATAGCTCGTACCTGGATCTGCACACTAAAACATGTGCACGAAGGGCATGAGTACACCACAATGGTACCTAGTAAGTGCCAAGCCTAACCTCGGTTGAGTAGTGACGAGGTCAGGTCAAGGCCCTACCGGAGTAAATATAATAAATTAAACAGTAAAAGATATAAGTAAAATTTACAGTAACATAGTTAAAGAAATTCTCGAACATTTAACAGTGAAGGGAGCCCTCGGCTCAAAACAAGGTAAACACAGTGGAAAATCTCCCGGGATACCGTCCCGTAGTTCCGAATGAATATGCAGTATAGGGGGATTTCTCGGAATACGTCCGTAGTCCCAAAGTAAATATGCAGTACTGGGGGATCTCCCGGAATACGTCCGTAGTCCCAAAGTAAATATGTAGTACAGGGGGATCTCCCGGAATACGTCTATAGTCCCAAAGTAAATATGCAGTGCTGGGGGATCTCCCGGAATATGTCCGTAGTCCCAAAGTAAATATGCAAGATAGGGGGGATCTACCGAAATACGTCTGTAGTCCCAATTTAAATATGCAACGCAAGATGAAATGACAGGTATGTCATCGAGTTATATAGTTTATACTGAGCACAGATAATGGAATAGGGATTTAACTAAGCATAGCGCACAGAATGTCAAATAGGCAGTTAAAACACGTAAACATGCTTTTCTAGTCTATACTAAACAATTAAGCATATTAGTGCAATTTAATAAGAGAAGCAATTTATGATTTAAAAAGGATAAACAAGATTTTTGTAATAACTGCTCGTGTACGTACTCGTCACCTCACGTACGCGGCGCCCACACACCAAATAATATCAAGACATCCTAAGAGGAAAGTCCCCAACACAAGGTTAGGCAAGCCACTTACCTCGAACCGCTTAAATTACCTCGATAACAAGTTCTTGCCACGAGTATCCTACTCCAAATGGCCCGAATCTATTCAAATAAATTGCATAATATAAATATAACTACGAGTAACTAATTTAGCTAATTAATTGAAAGCTAAAGCGTGAAATTAGGAAGAACGCCCAAAAAGTCACCCCGGGCCCACTCTTGGAATAGGGTAAAAGTCACAAAATACGAACACCCATTCACTCACGAGTTTACTCGTACCAAAATTGCTCAAATCCGATACCAAAATCTCGATCAAAACCCCAAAATTCGGCCTAAGGATCTTTCTCAATTTTCACCCCAAATCCGAAATTAAATGATGAAATCAACCATAGATTAGTGGAATATAACCATAAAGGAGTTAGGAATCATTACCCAAAAACGTCCTCCGAAAATCTCTCCAAATTTCGCCTTTTACCGAGCTCTCAATCAAATTTTTGTGTTATGAACTCAACCCTCGTTTTTGAACCTTAAATTCTGCCCAGGTGCATTCTTCTTCGCGAACTACTCGAAGCTTCCTCTGCCCCGTACCTCTACGCGAACACGAGGACCATATCGTGAACTCGTAGGCTTAAGGTCCTACACCTTCGCAAACACGGGAACAACATCGCGAACGCGAAGAACAACTTCGCTGCCTTTCCCAGATGCTCTATGCGATCGCGAGGCACCTCTCGCGAACGTGATGAAGGATTTTTCTGCAATAAAACACCAGAAATCTGCCACTTCTCTAAGTCCAAAGATGACTCGTTGAGCATCCGAAACACACCCGAGGCCCCCGGGACCTCGACCAAACATACCAACCAATACTAAAACACCATACGAACTTACTCGAGCTCTCAAATCATATCAAACAACGCTAAAATCACGAATCACCCTCCAATTCAAACCTAAAAAACTTGAAACTTCAAAATTCTACAACCGATGTCGAAACCTATCAAATCACATCCGATTGACCTCAAATTTTACGCATAAGTCATAATCAACATTACGCACCTAGTCCAACTTCCGAAATCGGAAAACGACCCCGATATCAAAAATTCCACTACCGGCCCAAAACTACAAAAATTCGACTTTCGTCATTTCAAGCCTAAATGAGCTACGAACCTCCAAAACACAATCCGGGCACGCTCCTAAACCCAAAATCACCTAACGGAGCTAACGGAAGCAAAGAAATTCTATTCTGGAGTCGTCTTCACACAGTTCTGACTACGGTTCAAATCTTAAGGCTTACGCTCTCATTTAGGGACTAAGTGTCCCAAAATACTCTGAAACTCAAAATCAATCATCCCGGCAAGTCACAATAGCAGAAGTAGATTTGGGAAAAGCAGTTAATAGGGGTTCGGGGCTCTAACTCTCAAAATGATCGGCCGGGTCATTACATTAGGCCGTTAATATTCATAAACATCGTAGTTGCTTTAGGCGCGATCAATAATAAATAATCATCGTGACTATGGGTACGGTTCCCGTGGCATGGTCTCGATACGTAAATTCCAATTCGGGTGTGCATTTCATGTGACCCGACCATAACTTCGATTAATAATAAAATTAACATGTCATAACTCGCGGGTGCATTTCACGTGGTGCGATTTGTAATGTGTACAAAAAATCGAATGTGCGACATCGCGACTTGTTCAAACTAATTTCATAAATACTAAAAGCGGTTTAAAAGGTAAACATGCACAATAGGTCTCAAATATGTATTAAATCAGATAATTAGGCCAAGTATTAATAGTTAAGCGATCATGCTAAAACCACGGAATTCGGGAGTGCCTCACACCTTCTCCCGGGTTAACAGAATTTCTTACCTGGTATTTTGTGTTCGCGGACCATAAATAGAGTTAAATTTCCTCGATTTGGTATTTAAAATAAACCGGTGATTTGGGACACCATAAATTATTTCAAGTGGCGACTATGATTAATTAAATAATCCCACTTCGATTAATGTCACTTAAATTAGAAAAACTCCATATCCCCTCGGGAAGAAAGAGGTGTGACACCCCATATAGAAGATAAAAAATCAATACAAACTAGATTCCTTCTTCTACATACCTCCAGAATTCACAAACCCATATACACGTTCATCACCATTTCAACCCCACATGCACCAGTAATAACCCAAAAATTATGGACACTATTTTTGTCTTAGAGAAAGAGAGAAAAAAAGAAAAGAAAAAGAAAACGAAAAACAAATGAAGGGTATGTAGAGTGGAACCTTGTTTGACCCAAAATTTAAATTTAGGTTTAAACAATTAAATTTTCTAATAAAATATAGTTAATCTTAACCAATATTAATATCCAAAAGATATATTAACCAATTTTGCAGCGAGATATCGTGGATATTATTTGAGTAGCAATAAATGACGATAATAATACTATATTTAGTGATCCAAATATAAAGGAGGTAGTATTAAATAATAATAAATAGTAATGAATGACATTTATGTAAATAAAAGCGTGTGAATCACCCGAAAAAGATGAGATTCTTTGATGTTCTTTCTGACAATGATAAATGATTGATAAGCGTTTGAATATTCGGATTCTGCTTGGATCGTGAGAGAAAAATTAGATAAAAGATCTGAAGAAAATATGTATTTTGTATGTGTATGATAAAGCAATAATCTCTATAGAATGTCAATGCGTTATTTTTTCTTTCAATGAGTGTCCAAATCCCCTTCTGTAACCACATATCTTTCTATTATATGAGCATATGGGCCACAAAAATCCTAATAGTACATATTGGAGGAATATTCATTGGATTTTCTCTTTAAAGTCCTATTTCTAAAACTAACTGTCACTACTCTGCTAAAGGGAATACTCGTCCTCGACCTCGACTTTTGTTGAGCCATCGACCTCACCTTCATCCTTCGTTGAAACCAAATTTATGACAAGTGGCGGCCTTCGAAGGCTTTCTTAATATTGATTAGGCTCATATATAATTAAGACAATTTTTAGCTCATAAAGTTAGTCCCCGTCTTCGTGAGTGAGTTCAATGAGAGGATAACAGTGGTCGTGGTCGTTGTAACAAACAGGCGATGTGGCTTGTTGTGGACCGTATATCACTACAATAAATTGAATTTTTTGCTGCACCATATAGCGACGACCCTATATATGTTGCTACAACTGTTATACCTTTAGCAGTGAGTTTAAAGATTGCAACTAAAAGTGATTATTTAGCAGCGATTTTTCAGAGGTCGCCTCTAATGTGGCTGAAATTTTCAGTCCCGCTCAAACTAAAATTTTGGCTCCATATTATTTGTGGCGACTTTTTAAGTTGTCGCCGCTAAATTCCTATTGCAGCGACTGGGTCGCTACTAGAACCCTTATATTTTAATTGAAAATAACAAAATAAAATAAATAAAACTCTTCCTAATTAAAGGACACAAAACAGAGACGCTCAAACACTTCTCTCTCTAAAATCTCTCCTCCCTCTCTCTAAAATCTCTTCTCTGCTAAAATTTCACCCAACTCTAAATCTCTCAAATCAAGATGTGAATCTTATTTATCAGGTTTGTTGTCAAATCCCTAATTTTTTCCTTTTTTCTTTTAGGAAAAAAACTGATGTGCATAATCGAGTTTTGTGGAGGAAGAATCGCATATCCGATTTCTCTCCATAATCTCATATAGCCGCTGGTGACCTAATATTTTCCCTAATCTCAGTCACTTTTCTAAGTTTTGTGCATATGTTTAACTGAAAGCCCATATTAATTTATATATAAATTTATGTTTGGGTTTTTTTATAAGGATTTTGTATTCTGTAAGGTAAAATCTTCAACATGCAGTTAGGGATTATTTTTATTTCTATGATTTTACATTTGTATTCTCAGATTTCATCTTGAATTTCTCTGAACCATTTGATAATTTACAGGAATACAAAAAGAAAATCATGCAGAAAGACTCATTTGAAGCCTATTTGGTGTTGTTATTATTGATTTTCAGTCTTGACAGAATTCTCACGTGTCTCTTTTTTGGGTAAGTTAAAAGCTTCTTCTTGAGAGACCTATTGCATGTTGGTATTCCATGATTATTTTTTTTCTTTTACGACTATGTGCCTATATGTTACTATAAGGTTATAAGAAAACATAATACTTCTTTGGTAAATGCATATATTTGGACACTTAAACAATAATTTGAATGTAATATGATTTCTTGATCATCTAGAAAAGGTGTTTAGATGGACTATCAACTCCTAACCACACCCTAAAAGCTAAATACCTTTTATTTTTATTTAGCTGGGCAAATATTTCCCCTGTAGAATCCCCCGAAACCTTTTTGAAATTTGTTAGCTCTTTGTATCTAAGATAACATATATGTAGTAAGCTAACATGTGATCTTTTTTACCTTTTGAAGCTTCTATGCCTATGCTGCTTCTTGTAATATTTGCATCTTCTTGATAAAATCAATGAAGTCAATTATTTCATAAAAAAAAGGAGTTTAGAGTAGGAAAAATAGGAGATGACTTGGTAGAATGTTTTGGGCAAGGATCCTATTTATCTATTATCTCAATTTTTTAGATTTTTTCCTCAGATAAACATTCATGTCCATTAGTACTGTTGCATCTTTTCAATTAACTATCCTATAGAAGATTCAGCGTCAAATGATAATTGCTAATTTTAGAGCTCTTTCTTAATGTTATATAAAGAGGCTTACCATGTTTTCCATTGGCATTACATGAAGCTTGGAGAAGAATGGAGCTAGGGTAAGAGGCTCTTATGTTAGATTAAAGATTTGGGTTCTCTTAAAAATTAAAATTACAATCGGAAGTGTCTTTCTCTTATTGTTTCTGCTAAAAATAAGAGGCTTACCTTGTGTCTTTCCCTTATTGTATTCAAACGAAAGCATTTTATATTTGTAATTTATTTGTCAAACCAGTTAAGTATCTTTTCTTATTATTTCTGCTACATTGTTGCCGCTTTAGGTATGTGAAAATGACTTGTAGTTGATAGTGTACTAATTTATATTCGCGTAGTAAATCAGTTTTTGGTATTGTGTTAAATTCATTTTTCAAGTTTTTTTTGCTGCTTTTATTACTCTAATTTACGTTTTACTTCAGAGAAATTTTTTTTCTTAGTGACTCTCTAAACTATTGTTCTTGCTTTTAATTTAACAATAACTATTGATGTAGTGCAAGAACATGATTACCATAATCTTTGTTGATATAACAAATTAGGACCAGGAAGGAATGACCCTTTTTTTCCTATTATAACACACTTTATAGTTTAATGTGGTTAATCTATATGACTAAGTTGCTGCAGTTCTTCCTCGAATTACTGTTTTTTTCAAAACAATATACACAATGAGGAAGATGATTTTATTAATCACAAGCATATAGATATATCTGAGAGTGAAGATAGTGAAGAAGAGTTATTTGATGATGATGATGATGGGAAGGACACCGATACATCCTCTTGAAGACTAAGAAGCAAAAGACTGATGATATAGATGTCTATATTATGTTTTGAAAATTTTCTGTATTTTGTCCTTATTAAACCAACAGTGAAGTAGTTCTTGATGCTTAAAGTTTTATCTATATCTTATTTTGAAAAGTTCTTTGTATGTTTGTAATTATTAGACTTACAATGATATTAGTTCGTGATGCTTGTAGCTTTATGTTTGCATTTTATTTTAGAAAGTTTCATGTATTTTTGTCCTTATTAGACTGAATGTAATTTATTCATGATGTTTAAATCTTTAATTTCATAATAGAATCAGAAGTGAGGTAAAATCAGTACTTTGTTCTAACGTTTTTATCAATTAACTGATTTTAGTTTTCTACTATATGAATTGATATTTTCTCTATTTTAATCAGCCCTTTCCTTTTTATGTGATGTTTCAGAAAATGAAAGGAACTGGACGAGGTAAAAGTGGGAGAGGCGGCACAATCTGTGGTCGTGAAAAATTCCAATGACGTGGTAATTCTAGAGCGGCGTCTCAGCCACAAATACAATCAATAGGGATTACTAAGGCATTTCTAGAGATGGGACAATCATGTAACCAGAGTCAAGGACCTCTACATATAGGACATATCTCTTGTAGCCCTCCCCAAAGGCCTTCTTTAGAAATACAATCTTAGAATGGTTGTTTATTAATTTGTTGATTTATTGTAGGTTGCAAATGAGAGGAACAAAAAAAATAGGGAAAAGCAAATAACTAAGCATGTTTGTGGTACAAGGTCTTTTGCAGAAGTAGAGGAATCTACGATGAAAATATATTATTCCCCTATTATCACATATGCATATTGTTATTTGTATATTTGCTTATATATATTTTCTTTGAACTATCTTGTAGAGAAATTCTATTTCTGGAGAAATAAACACACCAGATAAAGTCTGGGAGATCCAACATACCCGTAAGGATCTAGCTAGAAGTGAAAAAGAAGATACAAGAACTATTTGCTACTTTCATGACCAGAATGCAACAGGTACTTGCTCTGCTCCTTCTTAACAATTCTTTTTCCTTCTCGACATTTCTTCTTTCTTTCTTCCTGAAAATTCTTCTGAGACTGGCTTCCTATCTTCTTTTCGACTTCTTCTCCTTTAACTTTTATCTTCTTGATGAGTCTATACCTTGATTTGAAGATTGGCCAGGGTGAGTCTATATCATTAGTGTTTGGATCATCCACAAGTTTATCTTCTGATAATGTCACGACCCAAAAACCTAACCTGTCATGATGGCGCCTATCGTGGAACTAGGCAAGCCGACTTATTCCAAAACAAATTGATACTTTCATTTCAAGGATAATTTCAAGGCTATTTAGCGTAAAAACCTTCGTAAATGAGTTCAAATCAAAACAAAAATGCAGAAAAGAAAAGCCCGACATCGGGGTGTCACTAGTCATGAGCATCTACTATAATCTGTCTAACAATATCAAGACTAACTCAGCCAGGAAAATAGCTAAATACAACTAAAGAAAGATAAGATGGAGAAGAGCAGGGCTGCGATCGCCAGGCAGCTACCTTGCTATCCCCAGGAAAATCTGCAACCGGAATAGTCAAAAGCCGCTACTGTGTCCAAATACGCCTGAATCTGCACACAAGGTGCAGGGAGTAATGTGAGTATGCCAACTTAGTAAGTAACAATAATAAATAAAGACTGAGCAATAGTGACGAGCAATAAAGCATATAAAGTTCATATCATGAAATCTCAGTAAAATATAACATGTAAAATTAGTGTTTGAATCAAATCATCTCGTTTAAATTAGTTCTAGTAAAATCATTTAAAGATATTTTCCAATAATTTTCAAACAGAGGCTGAATGCAAAGGTGAGGAAAAATGATGAAATCATAAACAGCCCCGAGGGCAAACCTCACAGTCACTCATGCCTCTAGGGCATACCTCACAGTCACTCATGCCACTCGGGCATACCTCACAATCACTCGTGCCACTCGGGCATACCTCACAATCACTCATGCCTCCCAGTCACTTAGCACTCGGCACTCACACTCAGTAGGTACCTGCACTCACTGGGGGAGTGTACAGACTCCGGAGGTGCTCCTTCAGCCCAAGCGCTATATCAAGCCAAATCATGGCATAAATCACTTAGGCCCTCGGCCTATATCAAGCATGCTGCAACGTGCAGCCCGATCCCATAAATATCCTCACAAATCAGGCCTCCGGCCTCACTCAGTCATAAACCTCTCAAGCCACTCGGGCATTTTAGTGAAAACATGATATTCAACCCAAAACAACATTTATATGCATCAAAACCGAGTAATAAAAACCGAGTTATATAGTAAACATATATGTATAACCATGGCTGAGTATAGATTTTCAATCGAAAATAGTGAGAGAATAGTAAGAAAAGGCCTCTAAGGGTCCACACAGCACTGGCACAAGGCCCAAAACATGGCATTCAGCCCAATTTACAGAAACTCTTTCTAAAACATATAAGTATCATATAGTTTCAACAAAATATGAAACTTTACAATTGCTAAAGGACGGACCAAGTCACAATCCCCAATAGTGCACGCACATACCCCCGTCACCTAGCATGTGCGTCATCTCAAAATAGTAGAATGATATAAATCCGGGGTTTCATATCCTCAGGACTAGATTTACGATCGTTACTTACCTTAAACCGGTCAAATCTCTAACCCGCGTTGCTCTTGCCTCTCGACTCGGCCTCCAAATGCTCTGAATCTATTCACAATCAGTACAATACCATCAATATACGCTAATATGTTGAATTCCACAAGAAAAACTACCAATTCAGACCAAAAATCCGAAATTGGCTCAAACCCAGCCACGAGCCCACGTCTCGAAATCCGACAAAATTTACAAAACTAGAAAGCCCATTCACTCACGAGTCCAACCATACTAGTTTCACTCAAATCCGACTTTGAATCGACATTCAAATCCCAAAAATTCATTTTATGAAATTTCTACTATTTTCCCCAAATTTCCACTTCAAAGTACTAATCAGATGATGAAATCATGGATATATTCATGTATTTTAATCAAATTTGGGCTAGAATCACTTACCCCAATGAATTTCTTGAAAAACTCACGAACAATCGCCACAAACCGAGCTCCCTAGGTCCAAAATATGAAATAATACCATAAACCCCGTTTATATAGTGCACCTCTGATCTCCCACTTCGCGGTCCGCGAAATTCTTGGCACTACACTGCCAGGCTTTAGTATTTTGGCCATAACTTTCTCTACAGATGTCCAAATGATGACTTCTTTACCTTTATGGAAACTATACACGGAGGGCTACAACTTTCGATTTGAATCATCTCCAAATTCCTTGTAAATCAAAAGATATAGGCTTCCGAAGTCAGACCAGCGGATCTGCAGAACTTCCAAGCGCGGTCCGCAAAATTCTGCCGTGATCCGCAAAATTCTGCCGCGGTCCGCGAAATCCCAATCACCAGAACCATACCTGAGTTTTGGAAATGCCCGGACTCGCTCAAAGTTCACCCCCAAACACACCTGAGGCTCCCGGGACCTCAATCAAACATACAAACCAATCCAGAAACACCATACGAACTTAGTCGATCCTTCGAATCACTCAAAACAACATCAAAATACCAAATTACCCTCGGATTCAAGCCTAAGAACTTCTAAACTTACGAATTCCACAACCGATGCCGAAATCTATCAAACCACGTCCGAATGACCTTAAATTTTTTACACACGTCACAAATGACACTACGAACCTATTCCAACTTCCGGAATTCCATTCTGACCCCGATATCAAATTTTTCACTGCCGTCTGAAATCACCGAATTTCCAACTTTCGCGAATTCAAGCCTAATTTTACCATGGGCCTCCAAATTACATTCCGGATGCGCTCCTAAGTCAAAACTCACCCAACGAAGCTAATGGAACCATCAGAATTCCAATTCGAGGTCAAATGCTATAAAGTCAAACCTGGTCAACTCTCCCAATTTAAAGCTTCGACAATGAAATTCTTTCTTCCAATTTGATTTCGAAATACCTGCAAACCAAAACCGACAATTCACACAAGTCAAAGTACATCATATGGAGCTACTCATGCCCTCAAACAACCGAGCGAAATGCAAATGTTCAAAACGACCGATCGGGTCGTTACATCCTCCCCCACTTAAACATACGTTCATCCTCGAACGTGCCCAGAGTTGTTCCAAAAGCCATCAAATCGCTGTGTAACTTTTCCATGCACATACCTGGGGTTGATCCCACGTCACCCTATCCCATACATGTCCGATAGCACAGCATAACTGAAATTTCTTAATTCAACCTAGCCCATAAGCCTTCGAATCAAATTTCCAACATCCGAAATTTCCTATAAAATTAGAAGTTCGCATCTACATACCGTATAAATCTGAATAAGTTGTACCAAAAGCCGTAACCATAAATCAAATACTCAAATTCAAATACCGCATAGATCGAATGCTCGAAGCAATGATTTCTAATCACATTATCGACTCAAATCAACCTAGTGCCGGTAATAAACCTCATATCAGAAAAAACCTCGTTCTAAAACCTTCGTACACTGCCGATGATGATAGAAACATACCGAATTCATAACCATTCATTAGACCAACAGGTCATGGAGCTCCCATTCCTTCTACAAAAACTATAGCCAATTTCAAAGCTGACTTCTGATATTATCCTCCCAATTATACCACAATCAAATCCTATAGCATCCATACTAGGCCCAATGACCTCGTCTCATCTAACACGACCACTCTAGTGACATGACACATCAACACAATCTAAAGCCACAACCCGTGCAATCCGTGCACCAGATAGCAACATTCCAAATGTACCCAAAGTGCATTACCATAACCATGGAGAAGCAAATGATAATATACCACACAAAACCCAAAAGAACATGACCAATATGCCATCAACCAAGCAATATCCAATACTATTCTCGCTCAAATTCTGCTATAAGGTCACAATAGAACCGCACCATATGTGCATGTAACCAACGAATCACAACTCCTCGTAGCATTGAAGAGTAACTCACAGATCATTTCAGAACACGAATAAGCTCCACATCAACCGAATGGCACATAATTCAATAATAGCAGTATGGAGCCAACCAATCCGGCTCGGTGTAGAATACATATCCTAATTGGGCCTACCAATGGGCCCCAAATCAACTATGATCAGCCACCAATAGATAAATAACCTCCGAAAGTCCACAATGGCTGAATCATAACACATTCTATCATCTGGCTAGCTTCGGTCACAACTTCACAGTCCACAACCATGAAACAATCTGCTCCTGAGAACTCCCAATATCCATTTCCATAGAACACATGAATCACCATATTTGACTCCACCCCACCGCCTGAATGCCTAACACCTCTCTCATACACAATCATCCCACGAGAAATACTTTAAAAATTCTTCCGTGCCACCTGGCAAAAATTTGAATATCAACAGTCGATCAACCGGGAGAGTGCTGCAATACCAGCGAAGTACCCATAAATCAAAACACACTGCCCCTTCTGAAATGTACACTCTCATCAAGCCATACCAAATAGTAATATCATTTACCTAGTCATCTGAAACCGTCCATGCTGCCTAAGAATTTATGTCCTTCCCTTCAAAACTAAACTGTGACCTTGTACATGTAAATCCTATTCCTGCACAACACACCACATCTATTATGCCATTATGTGACAAGCATAAGAATTCCATTATCAACTCTGAGTCACTAGCAAATTACATACCTTATTAGTCGGAAACCTCTTTCTTGCTTCTTTCTAGGAGGAAATCATAACACACAATATGTTCCGCACACCGGTAGAAATAATCCGGTTCAAACCATGGTAGAAACCATCATGAACATTTTGAAATCCATCTGCACATAACCGAGCTATCTGAACTGAATTCCTCTAACTCCACCAAGCCACACAGGTTTCCAAATCCAAGAGCATTGCCACGAAACACTTGTAGATACTAGCCACGTCATAAGTACCC